GCAAGTAACATCTCAGAGCCTGAGAGAAGTCACAAAAATCTGTTCAAACAAAATGAACAAGGGAACATTCACACAGGTGGCATTGGCAAGGGGCAGAGGCATCTGTCACCAGCAAGTCCTCCATCCTACTCTGCCTCAGCCCAAGCTGAAGGACAGCCAGGATCCCTCTCTGACTTTTTATCCTACCCGGGAAGGGCTGACCTGATGCCCCAGAGGTTGACTTAGCTCAGCTCCTTTTGTTGTTTCAGGAAGCAGCTGTGGGGAAAACAGTCCCATTTCAATGAACAAAGTCCTTGTGATTGCTGCAGACCCTTGTCTTCCTAAAGGGCAAACCAGCTACACTTGCCCCTACACCCAGATGTGCAGATGAAAATTTCTCATGTCTTATTGTCTAAGATTTGAATATTTTAACCTCCAAGGTGCCAGATAGACTCTAAGAGCTATAAAGTTTAACTAAAGTAGTTCAGTTGCTAAAGGAGAGGCTTTTACTTTTACCCACTTATGGTAATACTGGCAGTATCAGAATATAATTAGGTTAAATAAATCAAATAAGGAATCCAGAAAAAAATGTTATTGAGTTAAGCCAAGCACACATTGGCAATTCTGAGAAAGAACACATATTAACAAAAAGAACATGCAAGCTCAAATGCAAGTTTATCTGGCGAGTGTTTTTAAAGGATTTAAAAAGCATGCTCCATTGGTATAATAGCTTTTTCGCACTTACATAACAGATGCATTTCTGTCTGTTTGTGTACAGCAAAGGGTTAGAACCTGAAAAAAACTTATTTATGATTTCAGAAATGTGCTATTTTAGAAATGTACTCCACAGAATTTACTTCACTGCTCCTACCACTGATTCTTCAAATAAGCAAAGTACTGAAGGTCTTATCCCTTGAAAAATTTTTTAAACACTAGCACTTTAAGTTGAAACATTGATAGAAATGTAGCAATGTCAGGTACAGTGCCTATACTTAGCCTTATTTAAAATAAGAATTGAATGTACAACAGAAAATTTATCATTTTCTTTATCATGGGAGGGGAGGGAAAGAAAGCAAGCAGAGGTAGGGGTGTGGTTTCACTATTTAAGGAAGAGCTGAATACAAAGACAATGAGTCTTTCATAGTCTCAACAACTCCACAATGGATAACTGTGAATTATCTCATTTATAATTTACATTGGATCAAAAAAATTGGTTCCCCTCTGTGTATATCAATTTAATTCAAACCTTATTATCTTCGAAATACAAAGATGAATACTACAAGATAAACTCTATCTGCAATAGGTATTTTCTAAGTGGAAGACCAAACGCCAAAGGGAATCCCTCTTTCCAATGTCTTTTGATATGACAAGATTTTGCCATAATGCCTAAATAAGCATTCTCATGGCCAAGTAAGAAACTATAGTTGTTGTGGGCATTACCCTACAATTACCATACATATTCCATATTATATTAAACTCAGCATTAAATATGCTTGTATAATTATGCTGTTAATGATGATAGCAGTGATAATACTGGCAGAAAAAGCCTGTCTTTAGCCCAAGAAAAGGGAGAAAAACGTAGAAAGCAGACACAGAGCTGGGCATTTTTTGACTAGGAAAGAGAATTTTAAGCATAGAAATATAAAAGGAAAAGTATTCCCTTATTTCCCCTATGTGGAAATAATATGAAACATTTATTAGATATACTAGACAAGAACAGACCTAAGTACTCCAACTGTACTGCAGCATTACAAAATAATCATCCCTTCACCACAGTATAACGTTTAAGGGCAACCTGCCCAAGGATGCATGTTATATAAAACACAGCAAGATTGCTCCTGCCCTGCCAAATGCTTCCAGTCCCTACCCAGGTCCTACTGAAATACTGGTGGTCCCAATTAGTTTTACTGAAATAAATCTTTAAAGAAAAAGATAAAGCATTTAAAAAGACAAGTCAAAATGCTTCAGGAACCACATATCCAACACAAACTTTATCCTCAAATTAGTTATGTTTGCTTCACACTAATAAACTTTCATTTCACTCGAATTAGAGCAAAAATCTTCTATACATTAAGTATCTTCCCTGCACAATAATTCAAAGAAAAAAAAATCAAAAATGATTAGTAAAGAAAAATGTAATAATTAACAAATTTTGTTTAAATTTTTTTTTTTTTTTTTTTTTTTTTTTTTTGAGACGGAATTTCGCTGTTGTCACCCAGGCTGGAGTGCAATGGCGCGATCTCAGCTCACCGCAACCTCCGCCTCCTGGATTCAGGCAATTCTCCTGCCTCAGCCTCCTGAGTAGCTGGGACTACAGGAACACGCCACCATGCCCAGCTAATTTTTTGTATTTTTAGTAGAGACAGGGTTTCACCACGTTGACCAGGATGCTCTCGATCTGCTGACCTCGTGATTCACCCGCCTCAGCCTCCCAAAGTGCTGGGATTACAGGCTTGAGCCACTGCGCCCGGCCTGTTTAAATATTTTTAAGGTTAAAACCTGTTTAAAGTTTGTAATTCCTAGTAGGAAAACATTATCTGAATGAATACCCTAATGGCAAACCACTGTAAAATGCTTCAGCTGCCTTTAGGGGAGTGGAATAGGGATTATCTTCAAAGTACCCCAGCTCTCTTGATGAGAAGGTCAGAGGTACACTGCTTTTATTATTGTGACATCCACAAGGTGATCTAGGTTTCTTTTCCTTCAGCAAAGGCTTTATTTATCAGAAGGGCATTACACTTGACCTCCAAATTTGGCTGACAATTTGCTGATAAGACTCATAACCTTTGGGTTGCTCTGTATTTTGACATATTTGCTGGGTTCTGAGGCACATCCTAGAAGGCCACCATAACTTCTGGATCCTGCATGGCTGCAAGAACCTCTGGATCACTAAGAATTTCACTGAGTCCAGGCATTCCGGCCACTGCAGGCATGCCCTCTCCCATTCCAGGCATTCCTCAGGGAAAACTACCAGGTATTCCCCCAGGAAAGCCACCTAGAAAACAGCCATACTGAGCTCCTGACTGTCATCTGGTTTCTTCCTCCCTCTGGGCTTGCTCGTACTCATCTCAAGCCTTCTTAACTTTCTGTTCTTTCTTTGATCTCTCACTCTTCACGTTTTTGCTCATACTTTCTCTGATGTTATGCAATTTTCTGTGCCCTAGGTTGAACTTCTTTCAGCATTGCACTCACATCTTCATCATAATCCAATTTACAGGCAAGGGCAAGATCATGGGCTGCTTCCTCCCAGTGGCCTAGAAGTCTGTGTGCAAGATCATGGGCTACTTCCTCCCAGTGGCCTAGAAGTCTGTGTGCTTTTCCACTTATAAGGCTGAGCTGAATCAGGATTTATTTCAATGACTCTGTTGCAGTCTCAAATGGCAGCATTTGGCTTCCGTAATTTGACGAAGACACTGGCCCTCTTGGCATACAAAATGGCCAAGCGAGGATTCAACCTGATGGCATCTGTGAGTAAGTCAATGGCTTTCTGCAATTCATCATCTTTAGGGCTTCAATAACAGCCACTTTCTTATCATTTGCCTGTTCCATCATCTCCTCTGTTATCTCTGCATTTTCATCTCCCATTTCTCGAGGGGCATCAGTGTCTGATTCAATCACACCTTCATTATCAGTTTCTAGGTCACTTTCCTCACTTGATGGTTCATCTGCCTTTAAATCTTCCTTCACCTTCTTACCTTCTTACTATCAGGTTTTTCTTCCTTGGTATTTTCTTCTGATTTAGCTTTCTGAGTAGCAGGTGGCATTTTAGCCCCCATACTCTCCACCCACTTCCTCAGGAAGCGCATTTTCTCAGTGTGCAGAACGCTTGGATCCTACTTACACATCTTCACAAAGGCACGAAGCTCGTTCACTTTGCAAGGATCCATGGTCCGGAAGCGGTTAGCTAAGCTGAGGGTTTGCCACCTGCTTCCAGGCCCAGGCGCTAGCTCCGCGTGACAGCACAGAAGGGGGCAGCTGCCACGAGGCAGTTCCATGAACTTTTCAAAGACCCCTCTTAGATAAATCTGGGAGAGATTCAGTATTTAAAATCAACAGGGTTTCAGACATCCAAAACTAGGTGTGTAATAAGAAGTTTTTATAGGGATTAGGGGCTCAGAGATTTGAATTGCATATGTCTTCTGTAAAAGACTGGTAACTGAATTCAAGGCATAGATGCCTGGGGAAAAGTGCAGAGTGGGAAGAGAAGGTCCTAGGACCCAGCTCTGAGGAATACCAATGTTTTGAGAACTTAACAGAGGTAAAGCGAGCATCAGAGACTGAAAAAAGCTAAGAGAAAGACCCAAAAGAGAACGTCTTTCACTGAGGCCAAACTTTTTCAGAGGAAGAAATCAGCAGATGCCCAATGATACTGAGAGGTCAAGAAAACTAGCTGAAAACTAGGCATTAGATTTGGTGACACATAGGAAACTTTTGTTCTTGGAGAGTGAGGAAATGAATGATAAAGGCACAAACCCTATGGGAGTGAAATAAGAAGTAGAAAATGGAAAGCACACGTTTGGGAAGTTTGGCTATGAAGTCAAAAAAAAAAAAAAAAGACAATAGTAGCTGGAGGAAAAAAGGTCTGGAGAAGGATTATTTTAATATGAGGAGAACTTTGGAATGTTTAAATGCTGTTAGGAGCCAGTGGGAAGAGGGAGAAGAAAAAACCGGCAGAGCGGAAAGAAATCCAGATTGCCGGTGGAAGGGTTCTCTTGCATTACTGACCCGACAACTTAATAGATACCCAGAATCCTGCAGTCTGGGTAGCTTTGGGTTTTAGGTGAAGGGTTTTATTGGTTTAGGTTTGCTTTGGTTGGTTTTTTACACCAAAGTCTTTCCTCCTCTGCCCTTTCCGGGTCCATTAATCCCTCCCACCGCGCGTCTCCCCACGCCTCACTTGCCAGACGAGTTTTTCCGGGTTACCGAGAAGGGCCAAGCACAAGATGAAGACCTCGGTAGGAACGCGCTTCCTACCGAGGCATGCGCAGAGAGGTCGCAGTCGCGTCCCAAGTGACGTAAACGCTAAACATTGCGCAGGCGCGTTAGGTCCCAGTAGCTATGCGTGTGCTTGTGGGTGAGAGAAGGCAGAAAGGGAGAGTGAGGGGCGGGCTTAGTCCGAGATTGAGGGTTGGGAAGCCGCTTCCAGGAGGGCACTGTCTCGTGCACAGGCAACCTTGCCTTGGCCTCCTAGCCAGAAAAGCCAGATCTCCCTAATCCCTGTGACCTGTCACCTCTGCAACGCGGGGAGGAGGAGAGGTGGGAAGAAGTCTAGTGTCAGATGGGATGGCGCCGGAATACGGGGTCACAGCGGGGACGGAAGGCGCCCCCACCTGACTCCCCGGGAATATAAACAATTTGTATTTTCCGATCAGGTGGCGGGACAGGCTTCATTGGGACAGCCCTAACCAAGCTGCTGAATGCCAGGGGCCACGAAGTGACGTTCGTCTCCCGACAGCCCGGACCCGGCCGGATCACGTGGGTACGCCCATCCTCTAGACACGGGTGGCAAGGCAGAGTTGGGCGGCGTAAGGCCGGGCAGGGGAACTGTGTGCTTTCTCCGACAGGACGAGCTCGCTACTTCCGGGCTGCCGAGCTGCGATGCCGCCGTCAACCTGGCCGGAGAGAACATCCTCAACCCTCTCCGAAGGTCAGCGGCCCCTAAAGCTGATACCCACTGAAGCATAGGGAGGAGAGTGTCCGACTGATGAGAACCTCCATGGGTAATGCAACTGCCAGATTCTGAACTAAACCTATATCCCAGACTACTCATTCTGCTCTACTCCTCCAGTCAGTCAGACAGTTGGCTTGAGTCCTCACATATAACTCAGGATGCCCAGGAAATGTATGCCCTTTCTCTCTACAGGAGACTCCGACTATTTCTCTTAAGCCAAAATTCAGGGTTTTACTAGAAATGGGTATAAAACAGCTCCCAGGAAAAGACAGAGAGAGGGATATGTGCACCTAGGTATTTAGTGGCTTATTTCCCATGTTTCTTCTGCAGATGGAATGAAACCTTCCAAAAAGAGGTTCTCAGCAGCCGCCTGGAGACCACCCAACTGCTGGCTAAAGCCATCACCAAAGCCCCACAACCTCCCAAGGTGTGGGTCTTAGTCACAGGTGTAGGTATGCCCCCAAGTCACCAACCCCTTATATTAGCCAGGGGGAGGGGGTAACTCAGACCTCTGTAGCTATGCACACAGCTGAGCACTGGTCTTTTCCAGGCAAAATGACTTCCTAGGCCCTTAATCCATGCATGTTTCTCCTAACCTTTGTGTACTTTCACTAAGAAATTTAGACCCTGAAAAAGAGTGGGGAGTGGCATCACTCTTAGTGCCAGGGAAAAGTCCACCTATTCCCAATCCCTTACTTCTCACACCACAGTTCTTTAGGAACAGAGTTCCTGGTTGCTATTAAGTCACCTTTGGGACCAAGTAATTGCAATGAATTATAATGCACACACCAGCCACTATTTGTAGTGTTTTATGCTTATTATCATTTATTCCTTGTAACAACCCTATGAGGTAGGTACTATTATTCCCATTTTAAAGGTGTGAAAATTCTATACAGAGAGGTTAAGTAATTTGCATGAAGTCAGAGTTAATAAATGAGGGAGCTGATTAAACTCAGGCAGCCTGGTACCCAAGTTCCTGTTCTTAACCACTACACTCTAGCAGCCTCTAAGTTTAGCCCTGCAACCAAAGAGTTCCTCCAGGGAAGGAACAGTTCCAGTCATGGAGAAACTCAAGGGGAAAATATCCAAATAGCTCTGTCTTCAAATGGGGAGATCCCAAGGGCCAAAGAAGGTGAGGCCAAGGGGAGCCTCCACTGCAGAGAGCCAGGCAGGACCAAGGACACCCAGGGCAAATGAGCATGTTCAACCTGCAGCTTACTACCAGCCCAGTCTGACTGCAGAGTATGATGAAGACAGCCCAGGAGGGGACTTTGACTTTTTCTCCAACCTTGTAACCAAATGGGAAGCTGCAGCCAGGCTTCCTGGAGATTCTACACGCCAAGTGGTGGTACGCTCAGGTGAGAACCAGGGGCCTGGGTATGTATCCGACAGGGTTGTAATGTCTTCTCTGGGCTGGGGAAGTGATGGGATCAGAAGAGCTGAAATTACGATTACAGAGTGAAAGGATGCAAACACCACTTCTAGCCAACCTGCAGAGGAGAAGGTGTAAAGTATTAATGAGAGCCATACTGCTCACCTCTGTTACAGAGCCAAGACAGCATGGGGAGAGTGAGGAAGGGGAAACAGAAACCAGGAGGAGCAGTGGGGCTGCTTCAAGGCTGAGGCCCCCCCTGTACCTTCCCTCTTGCCTGCTCTAGGGGTTGTGCTGGGCCGTGGGGGTGGTGCCATCGGCCACATGCTGCTGCCCTTTCGCCTGGGCCTCGGGGGCCCCATCGGCTCAGGCCAACAGTTCTTCCCCTGGATACACATCAAGGACCTGGCAGGAATCCTGACCCATGCTCTTGAAGCAAACCACGTGCACGGGGTCCTGAATGGAGTGGCTCCATCCTCCGCCACTAATGCTGAGTTTGCCCAGACCTTGGGTGCTGCCCTGGGCCGCCCAGCCTTTATCCCTCTCCCCAGCACTGTGGTGCAAGCTGTCTTTGGGCGAGAGCGTGCCATCATGCTGCTGGAGGGCCAGAAGGTGACCCCACGGCGAACACTGGCCACTGGCTACCAGTATTCCTTCCCAGAGCTAGGGGCTGCCTTGAAGGAAGTCATAGCCTAAGTATGTCATGGCAATGGCCTGAGGCCTGTCCCTCACAGGCTTCCAGGTTAAACACTGTGAACAGGCTCAGCTCCTCTGGAGAGCTGAAGCCAACTGGTTCTTAGATTCCTTCCCCAGTCCTTTTCCTTCCCATTGTTCTGTTGCTCCACTTTATTGTCTCAAGACTGTAATCTCATCAGGTTGGTACCTTAGTCTTTTCGACTCATTGTAATATTTCCCAGTTTGGTTTCTCTGTATGTCCTGCTGCTGCCCCACTTCTCCTTTATGCTGTGCAGAGAATGCTCTGCAGTTTAGGCAATAAATTATCTCACTAACCTTGGCTCATCTCTTTGGCCTAGATTCTCTTGGGATTTATTTCAAGGAATGTCACCCTAGATGATTGTTTTCCCCATACGGGGTTTTGGAAGTTATAATGGGCAGTCTGTCTCCTCAGCCTCTCCCTTCTTGGTCCTTCAGCTGCCAAAAGAACTGGTCACAAGTTTGAGACATCAGGTTATGATAAAGGTAGAGACCAGAAGAGAAAATGGTGATCCATTTCCAGTGGGCCCTACAGTCACCCTGGATGCTGTCAGAGTGCCGTTAGGGTGCCAGAAGAGGAAGAGGTGAGGCCCAGGTGTGGGATGGCCTTCAGTCTGTGTAACCAAATGGCAGTGCATTAATAACCACACGGTGATCCCAGTTTATCAGGCGGCAGCAGAACAAAGCCAGCATCCCTGTCCATAAGTTTAGGACTTGCCTCTCATCTGACTGGAACCACTCAGTCAACCTGGACCCTTAGCACAAAAGGGCAGAAGATACTTTGGTCTACTGCACACCCACCATCACTGAAAGTGAAAAGAAACTAATCAAGAACTATAAACAACCCTATCAGGAAAAAAAAAAAAAACTCCCAAGTTTTCATCTAGGACCTTTTTACCTACCTAAAGCTATGACATCTGCCATCTTGACCAGACACAGTTCCCCTAGCCACCAGTTCAGGCCACATTAAACACTCTCTTCTTCTCAGGGAACCCTGGGTTATCTCTGAATCATGGTCACCTCCTTGACCAGCCTATGTCCAACGCACCTGCCCCTGGCCTAAGTCAGTATGAGGCAGTGGTGTAAATCACCAAAAAGGGAGGAGTAAGCACACAAGGACCCAAGGACCCTCCCCATCATCATTACACACTCCATGCAGTATTCAACTGCCTGTACCATTCTGAGGAAGGCAGAAGTCAGGGCCTGGAAAAGATCTTGTCCAGAGACTCGCCACAGGGCCCACACAGAACAGAACCCAAGGGCACCTGTCCTACTTTTTTATCTGGTCTTGGACTCCAGGAAGTTGACTGGCTCTGTATTGTTCCTGGGGGGATGATCAGCCTCAAAGGTAGAAGTAACAGAAAAGCATACTTCAGGCTGCACTAAAGGAAGGAGTACTGATTAATACCATCTACACAGGGAATGTGCTACCTTGGAGATAGTAAATTCCCTGGCACAGGAGGACTTCAAGCAGATCCAGGGCAATGACCTATAGGAATCATGGTGGAGAGAGCATGCCAGTGACAGCAGAGTTGGTCTGGTGGCCAGTCAAGTGCCTTCCAACTCTGGTTCTTTTCATTTACCAGATAATTGGTTCATCTAGAACCAACTGGTTCAACTTCTGTAAGTCCTCCCATCCCCATACACACACACACAAAGCAGAAGTATGCCTCGCTTTATGCAACATATGTCTTCCATAGAAAAAATGTTAGGGTCAGATCACATTATTATTGTCATTGCAGAGCATGGCTTCATCGATTTGGTGAAAAATCGATGTGTTCATCTCAATACTAGCAAGTCCAGTGCATCTAACCAGGGACTTGCCAACACATTTGTTAGTCTGTAAACAAACATGTGAATACAACAGGAGAGCTGCCATTTATAGGAACCCTGAGAGTATTTTGATAAAGTAGTTGTCCCTAATTTACCTACTGTGTAAATGTGGATTTTGGAGGTTGCTCAAAAGGGATGCAGCCATTGTAGGGCATGTTATAGTAAGAATGCAGTGTTAAAATCTAGGATGTGGACCCTGGAGACAGAGGACCCACATCTCTCTGAAAGTGAGGTTTTGGTTAGGGTGCCTGTGCAGCCACAGGCAACACACCTGAGACTTGGTCCAAGCACCTTTTCTCCAAGCTTTCCTCTGTGTTCTCATTTCTCCTCCCAACAGGTATTTTTACCCCTGATTTGTAGGCAGAAGTAAAGCCCAAGAAACAATCAAGGTCACAAACGGGCATAGCTGGGACCAGAAGCCAAGTGGCCCTCTGCCTTCATCACTAGCTCACTCCACCCTATTGCAGCCCAGTCCACATAACGCTGTGGCCCGACCAGGGCCCTGCATCTCCTTCCACACACCTAGGAGCTCAGCCGGGGAGCATCCTGTCCTCTGGCCCTCCAGAGCAGCAGCCAGGGAGAGAAACGGCTTAACTTCTTGTCACTTCCCACCCACCCTGCCCTCCACCTCAGCTCAGCTTGGAGGTGGAGCCAACAGTCTCAGTCTCCAGAACTAATCCTCCCCAGCAGCCCCCACTCCCTACAGAAACCCTGTGCTAAGGCAAAGTTGAGAAGTTAAGACTGAGCAGAACCTCTTGAGAGCTGGCTGAGGTCACTTTATGGACCTGTCCCAAAGTGGCTTCCCTGATCCAAGCGTCAACTCAGGGTACCTCTGAATAAGAGTGTGAGCACCAGAGAGACTCTCCCAGAAAGGGCTGAGCTGGAGGCGGCTGGAGCTGACAGGGCAACAGCCACTCAAGCAGGTGAGGCTCAAAAGTTGAGACTGAGCAGGGCCTCAGACAGTTGGTTAATGTCCCGGCAGTATGGCTCCCGCTGCAGGATAAAGTCCACCTTGTGATCCTGACCCCAAAACACCTCCAGCAGCTGGCGTCGGAGCCGCTCTGTTTCCCGGGTCTTCCGAATGCCACCACTACCTTTTTCCTCTTCTCTCCCCTGCTGCTTTTTACCATGTTCTGCAAAGACCCTGGAAGGATGCTGAGCCTTAGAAGGCCCCTGTGTCCTGGGAAGAAACAGATCAAAAAGAGCTGATGAGCATCCTGGGGGGGAAATTAGATCTTAGTAGGCTACCCCTCTCTTGATTATCTTGCCTGTTCCTGGCTCTGGGGGAGAAGTCCTGAAGTTCCTGAAGTTGACCACTGAGTGGCAGTATCAAGCCACTTCTGAAGGGGTGATGGACCGTACTTTGGGAACTACAGTGAACTCTGCTACTATTATATGATCTAGTTCTGGTCCTAAATTAATCACTTACATAATGGTCAGCAGAAGGCATGCAGAATACAACTGGCTCTCAGTATAAGCAACCATTTTCCAAATAACTCCATAAAACATGCTGATTAAGGGAAACAGGAAGCAGGTGTTTCCCTCCCAGCAAGGAGGTTCTACGTCAGGATTCCCTGGGAAGCTTATCATGGCCAAGGCCAAGGTAACTCACACCACTGCAAAATTAAGCTGGCCAAAACTGAGGTCACACTTCTACCCAAGCCTCTGGGCCTGCCAAGAGAGGGCCAGGGTGAAGCTGTCTGCAAGGAGTCTAGATTGATTACCTGGCTGGCTTCTTCAGAAATTCATCCAGGGTGGGGCCGTTTCGCCCCAGTGGGTCATCAGGTACCATGAAGAGGTTTCCCACAAAGGTAAAGGGCAGCAGGCTGGACGGTGAAAGAGAATATATGGTCATAGAGGGGACCCTTGCCCACTCCCCGGACAACTGAAACCATTATCACCAGAAACTGCTGGCTCCATCCTTCAAGAAAACTTCACCTCCTTCCCAGAGTTTTCACCCTGTGGCCAGAGCAGAGCTGGCTTTAGAAAAAGGTCTGCGTCTGTGCCCAATTCTCACCGTTCTCTGATGATTGCCATCCAGTTCTCAGACTCCTCCGCCAGGTCCCGGAACTGATCATTGGAGACAATTATCCCATCTTTCTCTTCAGCCAGCCTCACCATGAACCTGTCTCCAAAACCACAGCAACTGAGAGAAGGTTGAAAATTTACCTATTGGGTACAATGTTCACTATTTGGATAATGGTTACATTAAAAGCCCAGACTTCACCACTATGCATATAGCAAAACTACTTGTATGCCCCCCCAAATATATAAAAATCAAAATAACGACAGCAACCCTTTGGGACATTCCAAGGCCCCAACCTCAAAAGTGTTACTAATTCCCATAAGCAACTTCTGGTGATGGAGATCTGGCCCCGTACCCCACCTTAGCCCAGCTACAGGCAACTGACTAGATACAGGTTTCATGGGCTAGAGAGGAAACAAAGATGAATCCAAGGTGGTCTCCCAGTAGCATCCAATCTGCTCGCCACAGTCCTTCGCTGACACTGTCTTCCACCCTACCCAACCAATCCCTCGCAAATCCAACATGTCCTGCCTTTGAAAAGCCTTGCACTCTGCTCCCTTCCTTCCCAGGCCCACCATAACTACCCTAGTAATTCAGATATTGCAACTGAGATTATGCATAACCTTCTAACAAGGGGTCCCCACCTCTGACCACTCACCACCCTCCAGCCTCCCCTGCCCTGCCCCAGAAAGCATGCTTATCCCCTACACAAAACTCTTCCACACTCACCCTTTATTTACCAAATAAAGTCTACACGCCCAGGCCTGGCAGCTAAGGCCTTCTAGAGCCCAGCTCAAATCACTCTTACAGCCTTATCTCTCCCAATATCCCCTAACGCAATCTCAACTCCAGCTAAAATCAATAATCAGGTTACACTCTGCTCTTCAAGTATGTCTAATGCTTGACTTCCAGGTTTCTCCAACTATTCCCTCTATCTGGAAGGCACTTCCGAAAACTTGCTGAGGAACAGAATCACCAGCGGAACTTTAAAAAACAGATGGGCCGAACATGGTGGCTCACGCTTGTAATCCTAGCACTTTGGGAGGCCAAGGTGGGCAGATCATGAGGTCAAGAGATTGAGACCATCCTAGCCAACATGGTGGAACGCCGTCTCTACTAAAAACACCAAAAAAATTAGCCAGGTGTGGTGGTCCGTGCCTGTAGTCCCAGCTACTCAGGAGGCTGAGGCAGGAGAATTGCTTGAACCCGGGAGGCGGAAATTGCAGTGAGCCAAGATAGCGCCACTGCACTCCAGCCTGGGTGACAGAGCAAGACTCTGTCTCAAAAAAAAAAAAAAAAAAAAAAAAAAAGAATAGATGCCTGGGCCCCACTTCAGTAATTCTGATTCTACAAGACAAGGTAGGACTCATGAGGTGGTGGGTGGTGTTCTTAACAGATTTAGAAACCGAGAGATCCAGCCCATCCCACAGTCTTCTC